ACCACAGCTCTGTTAAATGTGAAGGGAATATGAAAAGCTTCTTTATGGAAATGGAAATGGACTGGCATTTATACAGCACTTTCCCAGTCTTACTGACCACTCAAAGCACTTTTTAAACCATGCATTCATACAATGCTTTATTCCTACACCAACCTATTTAGAATCAGTTGACCTAGCATGCATTCATAAATTACAGAGATGTCAAAGAATTATATGGCACACGTGGGAAAAAGATGGTAAATATGTGGTGATGTCTTTGAGAAACTTTGTGTCAACAATTTCCCTTTCACACGTGAGACTGGGCTAAAGCTTTTCTTGGAGCATATGTTGCCAGAAACCTTGAAGGTCAGATCATTTGTTGGATAATGTATGTCCTTGTGTCCAAATGGTCCCAGACACAAGACAAAGGCGTTACTCCCGCGTACTTTCCAGGAGGGAAAACTGATACTCTAGACCTTGAGTCCAGATCAAGGCGTTCGGGAGACTTTGAGTCGTTCTAACTTGCCTCGTTCATGCATACCTTAGTGTATGTAAACACACATAAGACACAAAACACAGACTGGAATGTCAAGATAACAAATAGTACGTCTTACTTGCCACACGAGGTTCCTCCTTTGTGTCTGAATACTGTTTGAGGTGAACTTTGGTTATTTCATGTGTCCAAAGTGTGTTCAGAGATTTGAAGGTCAGAAGTTGGTTAAACCTTCTAACCAAAAACAGAAAAAAGTAAAGTTTTCAACTTTAAGACTGCCATAATAAGCAATAACAATCAAAACTGCTGGTCTCCTGTATATATAGTCTGTGCACGCAGATTGTCTTCATCTGCAAAAGTGATGTGAGTTTAACTTACATGACTTCAAAGAGGATATGAACAACTGAAACTACCAAAATCTAAATATATATATACTTGTGATAACAAACTAATAAAGAAAGTAGTAATTTAATTCAGTAATATGCAATTTAATGCGATTATAAATAAAACTATAAATAACTGTAAGGATGTATCATTTTATCTTAGCATTTACTTCCATAAATATACTTTTTTCACCTAATGTAGTTCCTACTAATGTAAATCTGCTTTACTGTGCAAATGACTGGGCTGTCACCCACAACAGAAAGAGCTGCAGCCTGTCAGGTTATTGATGGGGAACTTTAGTAATCGAGCTGAAATGTATATCATCAGAGGTACAGTTAAAATTGAAAGGAAATAAATGAATTCATACAAAAGCACATTATTAGATAGATTTGGGAAATTTGGTCCCAAATCTATCAATTAGCCATTAGCTGCTCATTAAAACAAATGTCTAAACAGCCAATCAGATGGCAGCCCCTCAGTGCATTTAGGCATTTACGTTCAAACAAAACATCGGAAAGGGGAAGAAAGGTGATTTAAATGACTTTTAAAGAAGCATGATTGTTGGCTTGTTTCAAAAACTTTTCCAACACTACCAGAGAATGTGAAAAGGACAAAATGAGTGGAAGTTCTCTGGAGTTCTCAGGTGAGAACAGCCACACTGCTTTGAGCTGAAAAAGACCCAGTCTTTAGAACCAAGGTAAGCAGAAGAGCACACAACACCTTGAAGCAGATGGGCTACAGTAGCAGAAGACCGTACAGGGTCACACACACACACACACATCCGTGAACAAAGAGAAACTTTATAGCAGCTGCAAAATTCTGTCAAGTCAATGTGGGCCCAAATTTCCGAGGAATGTTTCCAGCACATTACTGAATCTTTGTCATAACAGTCCTGAAGGCAAAAGTAGGTCCAATCAAACACTAGCAAGGTGTATTAGTGAGTGTGCACTACCATGTTTCCCCTCTCTATCCCCAAGAAATTGCAAAAAATAGGCTAAATCTTCACGCTGTCACACATTGTGTTCTGCACCATCTCTCCTCAGATTATTCAGATGTCAAGTTCAGCACAGACAGCATGCAGGTTCATTCTTAGGTAAACACAGAGGTTGCAAAGCGGAGCCCTGCTGTCCTGGTTCATTGTAGGCTGGTGACTGCAGGCATGCTTGGACACATCAGCCCTGGATCACATTGCTTTTGTTGGGACTGTCCGAGGTCTGCTCTGCTCCTCGTGACATCAAAGGACCATGTCAGTGTGAGTTAGCAAAGATGAGAGGCCGTACAAGCGCAACTCAGTGGAGTGTGATCAGCAGGGCTCACAGTGCACACTCTGGACAACACCGTGTTGTGTTAGCAGGCAGGGTAATCACGTAGCACTACGAAAACACTCAAACACAGGAGCTGCAAGAAAGAACAAACAGGTGATGATCGGGGTGGAGAAAGGGATAAGTGGAACATTTGGATGGTGGCAGAGAACACTCTATGAGGATAGACTCCGTTCACGTGGTCTAATGACTCACTAAACACACATCAGAACAAAAACAGGCTGCTGTGTTATCTCCTGTATGTGCTACTGGACTGGATGTATGTACAACATTCAGCTATTTGATAAGAGCTACAATAGGACAGAGGTGAAGCAGGTTAGGAGAGAGGAAGGTGGAGGTCAGGAGTCACCACACAGGAGGCAAAACATCCTCTGCAATACTCCCAAAAATCACATCCCCTAGCATTGCTGCAGCCAGACCTGAACATCCTTTTAGCAGTCCAAACACGGCCTTGCTCTTCCCTGCACACCTAGTCTGTAGCAAATAACACGGAACGAAAAAGTCATCTGTGAAAATGTTTGGATTGTTATGTCTGAGAGGCACGCCTGTTATCTCCCGGCTGTATAATATTCTTATGCGCTGCTGGTGTGGTTCTGTAATAAAAAAAAACCCCCAACATTTAACCACTTGATGATTTTCATGTGTTAGTTTCAAAAGAAAGAATGAAATATTCTGCCATTAACTGGGGAGAATGCTGTGAAACCGGTGCTTTGAAGGCAAATGAAATGCATGGTGCTCTTGAAATGACATGTTGGATGAAGTTTCTCTTTATTTAAAATAAAGAGAAAGAGCTTAATGCTTTGCATTGTCTACTTACAGTATTATCTTTAAGAGTAATTTAACATTTCTGTGTGCAGACAGCAGTTGTTGCCCTTAAGGTTTGAACTGCTGTGAGCGTGGGCTGTTTTCTTTTTCTTTTTCACAGTGCCAGTTCTTTGGCGCACAGAAAGAGGTGTTTTACCGACAGGTGTGACTCCTGACCCTATCCTCTGTCTGCATCTGTCAACACATCTAACCCCGATGTCTCAGCTCAGGCGTGGAGAGACACGCTGCACCACCACCGGCTTTGTCTGCTCACCTGCTCGCACGGATAAAATATCCAGTCTGTTGAGCATCAACAGCTCGCGCTAGTAATTGCTCTTGATTTTGCACCTCGGATTCTTCTGCAATCTTGTCTCAGACGAGTTAAAAAAACACATAAAAATGGGAGGATTGAACAACAAGTGTGTTTTTCTGACTGCATGTATTCCATTCTGAACCGCCCTTCGGTGAGTAATGAGGAGGGGACTGATCGTAAACTACTTGCTGATGTTGAGCAAGAATTTGTACACTGGAGATGATGTCAAAGCGCAAATATCTTTTTGGCAATTCACCAGTTTCCTTAATTTATTTTCTGGACAGCAAGGTTAATCTTTACACAAAGATAACATTTCTGGCAAGAGTCCTGAATGACACAAACACACACAGGCATACGCGTGTATATTTTCATTCAACCGGCAGATGACTCCAGATGTTTCCTAAACAGATGAAAGGCAGGGAAGCTCCTCGCCAGCCTGCGTTAGACTCAACGAACGCTCGGAAGCCGGCCAGCTGGAAACACCCAAGCTTCCATACTGTTTCCTTCTCAGTGGTCCCTCCCTGCTGAGGGCCCATGGTTGCGATTTCTATCCCCAGGAAGCATCCAGGCTTGTGAGGAGGACGAGGGGTCTGACTCCACTGTCATTCAATAAAGCTTCGCGATAAGAGGATATAAGTGAAGAGAGGAAAAGAATAAAATGAAAAAAGAGAAACACAGTCTCTAAGAACACACTGCAAATGTGCTTGTTTCAGTATGTTTATTAATGTAGTTAGACTGGCCTGCTTTTTGGCAATCTCATCTAAGTAGTTCTCATTCTGGGTTTTAGATTGGCAGCAAGAAATTATTAAACTTTTCCAACAGACTTGTCTTTCACCACAGATCCACTTCATGGAAATGTCAGGATGTTATTAAATCTGCCGCTGCAGCTCTGCAGACCCTGTGGTCAAGACGTAGGCTTTACACATGAAAAAAACAAAACAAATGGCAGCTTAGCGAGGCTCCAGCCGCAGCTCGAGGTGTGTGAGCCACCCACGTTTTACCTCATTGTATCTGAATAATGCAACATCAGTGGAAGCCACAAACCTCTCAAAATGTCACTAGGAGTCAAAAGTGGGTGTGTCTTTCACCTGAATGGGAACAATTATGGTGTTACCTCAGCTCATACAATGGGCCCATTGTGAGGAGTATAGCTCCACGGGCTGCTGGTGGATCTGAGGCTTGGCAAGATGAGAGTGGGATGGGGTTGAGGTGCGGAGCGAGCCCACCGCTGAATCGCTTGCTTTGTTTGCAGACATATCCCGGGATTTTTTTTGATCATATGGTTGGAATGGATGGGGGAGTCAAAGCTGCTTAACTCTGCTTACAGTCTGGGCTGCGCACTGCGTCACACAGGTGTGAGAGCAAGTTTAATCTCGCACCGAATCCCGTTGTCACTTTAGAAAACCGTCCAGATTTGGCTTTGGGCACACAAAATGCTAGTAAAGAAAAAACAGTATTATTTCACAAGTTTTTCAATATTTTACAGACGTTGTGTATAAACATCTGCTGTTTGATTTACTGCAGATGGTGAAGAAGACGCAGCCTTTTGTGTCGTGGACTCATTGATTTAGTGATCTGTTCCACACGCTGTGCTCATGCCTCCTTTGTGAAGGTGTGTGTCACCTGCTGCAGCTCTTTCAGCTGGTTGTGATTCACCTGCGTAGATGCGTGTCTCATCATGACGGAGTCTCCCGTGTTTCAACAGGTGTCTGGTAGGGCAACAAAGTGAACTCCTTCACATGGGGGCATATTCAGCAAACGGCTAGAGCGATGGACGTGTTAAAGAGCAGCTGCAGTTGATGTTCAGCTGATGGGGTACTTGTTAACTTGAACATTTTTTGAAATCAACTATTATGGATTTAATAGCAGTGAGTGCCTCAGATATTTTATCTGCCTCCATCAAAACTGTGTTTACACTTTGTTTTCCTCTGCTTTCAGCATCTCTGATATGCATCCATACGTGTGACCTGCTGAAGCGTGTCTGTGTGCTGGGTCATGTGACCGTGGAAGTGTGCATGGAGCGTGCCAGCTTTGAATATGCGTGAGGCAGGCTAAGTGCTACAGGTGTGTGCGTCAAACGCACAAACCGGCCGGACAACTTGCTGATTCAGCCCTGCGGTGCTAAAGATGTCTGTTTGTGTGTGTGCGTGCAAGACACTGAGCCTACTTAGCACGGCTAAGCCGGGCGGGCAGAGAGTGGAGTAGAGGACAGACAGCAAAGCACAATAATAAGGTCACAAAGCGCAGCCTCCATGCTCGGCTCCCATGATCCCTCAGCTGATCCTGCAGCTGATCTGACAGAAACAGCCTCCTTGTTCCACTCAGTCAGCACATCAGCCCCTTTCAACTTCATCCAGGTTACTAAATACATAGATTAATACTCTCGCTACATTCTGCACCACCTGCTTAAACCCTAAAATATCTTAATGTGGACCTTTCAGCAAAACCTCAGACTAATTCAGGGCGAGTTTAATCGTTCTGGTGCCCTTGAAGGCAACTTAAAACGTATCTGAGCATTCATGCGGAGGCCTTCAGCATAATCATTTGTGCATGCCATATACCTGTTTAAAAGGAGAATAATAAATTGTTTCTAGATGCCTTTTTCTGGGGATGCCAGAAGTTAGTTTTTTACCAGCAGATCCTTTCTATTTGTGCTCTATGAGTACCCTCTTTTCTCAAAATGTCTCATGGTTTCATCACAGACTCTGTTGGCAGGAGTCCTGACATGACCTCAGGTATAATGGAACAAGATACAGACCTAACAGGTTATTTGAGTGTTGGTCTGCGCTCTTCATTAAGGCCACGCTTCAGGCCCTGGCGTGCCTGTGTTGTTTTTGTTTCACATGACACGATGAAACAACAGAAAGGTCGAAGTATTTAGCAACAGCTTGGAGTATTGCAAAAAGATAGAAAGACTATCCATCAAAACAGCGAACCAAAAACAAGACTGTGATGAAATGTGGTCATTTTATACGCTGGGACAACAAGCACACTCGATACTAGAAATGTAAAAGAAAAAAGAAAAGAAAAGAAAATAGTGCGAACCACTTTTTCACACTTTTAAATTTAATAAGTGGCATTTCCTTTAAAACAGATGTCAGTTTCACTTTTGCAGGGCTGCTGGAGTGATAACAGTTTTGCAACACAAGTCAGGAAGAACAAAATAAATGAGGCAATGCTCTCCCTACTGACCCTCCTCTAAGGTAATAAACTGCAGTTTCAGGAAACAATTCAACTCAGTTTTATTTATGCAGCCCCAATTTCCAACAACATTCAACACAAGGCGCTTTATACTGCAAAGAAAAGATCTTACAATATTGAAAAATACAATATTACAAACAAAGTCTGAAATATTTTAATGCTTTGTCTAAGTATAATCTCATCAAGCATTAGAAATAGAGCATATATTGCACAAATGTACCAAAATAAACTGCCCAGCTACTGGATAAGTACATTATATTTACTGAACTACTTTGAGCTGAATGTATAAATATGGGTATATATGCCTGTAGCCTCATGATCATCTTTTTTTTTTTTTTTTTGTGTCCCGTTTGGATCTTTAGCCATCAGAATTGTTGTCTTAAGGCCAAGAAAGATGCCAAGCAGATTTATTTCACCAAGTGGATCATCATGGCCTTGCCATATTGGTCCATTTGATTGACCTTTATTATAATTATGTATTTATTTTATTTTCAGTTGCTACAAACGGGACAGACATGACTGGGGGATAGGACAGGGAGAAAGAATGAAAGAAAGAGAGGGAGAGAAAGAAAACCAAAGGGGAGAAGAGACGGTGAGAAGGGGGGGAAGAAAGAAAAACAAACAAACAAACAAAACACCTGGGTCACCTGTATGGAGAAAAAAAACACAAAAGAGACCAAGGAAGACCAACAGAGGGGCAGCCCCGCCACTGTCCCAGTAAGAGCTGAGGAGAGTCCCAGATGAGGGCTCACTCAGCAGCCACCGAGCAGAAGCCAAGGGGAGTTGCAGTGACGCGCCCGTGAGCTCCGCCGGCAGCCAGCTGTGCCTGAGTGACCGAGCCCCAGGCCGAGAGGCCGAGGGCACCCCACCTCTGAAGTGGCCCGAGCAAGCCCCAGGCTCCAGGCCCCGATAAGCAGCCGCCAAGGAGTGAGCCGGTGTGTACCCGGACGCCCATCCCCAGACACAAAGAACCACCAACGCACCGATACCTGAGGGAGTCCGCCACTGGCAGGGGAAGTGGTGGTAGGGGAAGATAGGCCTCCAAACCTTGGAGGCCCTGAGATGTCCCCAGAGAGGTGGCGTCTGATACCCAACCTGACATATAGACACAGACATACAGGCACACACAGACTCAAACATCCATTCCCACCCTCATGCTCTCATATGCACTTACTCCACACTCAACCAACGTGGAGACAGACATAAAGAGACGCTGTACACACGATCACACTCCCCAAGCGTACTCTACAAACCGGGTCTAGGTACCCTTGCCCCTGGAGGGGGGAACTGCACCCAGACCCAGGTGGTGTTACCCTTTTCCCTGCCTCATAATTATCTTTAAAAATGAACTCATGAGCGCACTAAAAAAAGGTTTGCAAGCTATAGCTGGTGGAATAGCCTCGAATTGCTGCCCATATAAATACATCATAGGGGTATAGCCTTGAGGAAAAAGGATACTGTCTTTATTTTCCACTTCAGCCTTCAGGTTCTTAGACTCTGTATTTCCTGACCCTTAGCTATCGAGTCTTGTCATCACACCGGTTATGATGAATCAGCAAATGAACGAGTAGCACCTTCATAGTTGACCACGCCGCTGTCTGAACTCCTCTCTTTCTGAAATTCCAGCTTTTGTTCCGATGGCAACGAAGAAAAAGAACAAGTCGACAAGAGTTTCCATTAGGAGCCGTCATACTTAGTTTATCCCAACACTTGACTGATTGTTTTGTTCTACAGCTTGATGGCTCTTTCTCCAGGCAAACCATGTGCTAATACTGTATATAACTGTGCATGTGGATAAACACAATAGACTAACTGTTCTCCTCTTCTACATTTCCCCTTCTCAGTCTCCTTCCCTTTGTAAATTCACAAGCTTGTTATGTGATCATAATTGTGCTGAAAGAGCTGGGCCTATTGGACGGCAGCGTGGGCTGTGTAGCGGTGGAAGAAATTCAGATCCTTCGCTTAAAGCCAGGGGTAGGAAGGCAGTTTTTGTGGTTTTGGGGCAAAAAAAATTTTCCATTATAACCTTTCAGCATAATGTAACTAAAGTGGTCTGAGAGGAAACGCACTTCCTACTTATTTTGTTTTAAGACTTTAGAAAACCTACCCCGTGATGGGAGATGTTAGTTGGTCACAGTTCTTTCTGCAGAGAAGGAGCTTTTCAGTTGTCTGTTCTAAGAATGCAGATTTGTGTGCATGTCAGGAACACATACAGGAAAATTTGCCACTTCAGCATCAACAACTGGCTGCGCCCCCCCACCCCCTACACACACACACATACACACACTTATTAGAGTCTAAAAGAGATGCTGACTGTAAAAAAAATATGCAATGTGTAAGTACTGGTGAAGTGCAACTTTCATTAGATACACTATACTGTCAAAAGTATTCGCTCATCTGCTTTCACACACATATGAGTGACACTTAATTCTTAATCCATAGACTTTGGTATCTGTCCACCTTTTGCAGCTATAACTGCTTCAACTCTTCTGCGAAGGCTTTCAACAACGAGTGTGTTTATGGGACTTTTTGAACATTCTTCCAGAAGCACATTTGTGAGGTCAGACGCTGATATTAGACAAGAAGGCCCGGCACACAGTCTCTGCTCTAATTCATCTCAAAGGTGTTTTATCAGGTGGAGGTCAGGACATTGTGCAAGCAAGTCAAGTTCACACCAAACACGCTCATCTGTGTCCTTATGGGCCTTTTTTGTGCACTGGTGCGCTGTCATGTTGAAACAGAAAGAGGCCATCCCCAAACTGTTCCCACAAAGTTGGGAGCATGAAATTGTCCAAAATGTCTTGGCATGCTAAGGCATTTAGAATTCCTTTCACTGGAACTAAGGGGCCGTGCCCAACTCCTGAAAAACAACCCCACACCATAATCCCCCCCTTCACCAAACTTTACGCTTGGCACAGTCAGACAAGTACCGCTCTCCTGGCAACCACCAAACCCACACTCATCCATCGGATTGCCAGACAGAGAAGCATAAGTCGTTACTCCAGAGAACACATCTCCACTGCTCTAGAGTCCAGTGGCGGCATGTTTTACACCACTGCACTTGGTGATGCAAGGCTTGGATGCAGCTGCTCAGCCATGGGAACCCATTTCATGAAGCTCTCTATGGACTATTGTTGAGAATAGTCCACATGAAGATGATCTAAAGGCCACATGAAGTTTGGAACGGACTGACTGAGCAGAAAGCTGGCGACCTCTGCGGACTTTGCACTATGCACAGAGGTCTACCATTTCATGGATGACTTGCTGACGTTCCCAAACACTTCCATTTTTACTTCCGCTTTTTTATAGTTCCACAAACAATTGACTGTGGAATATTTAGTAGCGAGGAAATTTCACAACTGGACTTGTTGCTTAGGTGGCATCCCATCACGGCATCATTCTTGAATTCACTGAGGTCATGAAAGTGAGCTCTGCGTGCGTATGTATTTGATTTTACACACCTGGGCCATGGAAGCGATTGAAAGACACAAATGCAACAAAAAGTTCTCATAGACTGTTACAAAAGATGGACATGTTGTCGGATCTGAAAAGTGAAGCTAAAGATTAAATGACCCAGTTCTTCACTTGATTTGTGACCTTTGGTAATACTTCCATGATGAGTTCATAGTCTCAGGTGCTACCATCAAATCTTACTGAATAAAACATGATATATTGCGTAAATTCTGAGATTATGTGGCCCTGTATGAGCATAAAGTATACCTCGGTTTTAATCAGACCTGTCCCTCACTCATCACATCCAGTTTCAGAACACCAAGATACTCATAAACTGTTGAACCTGAGGCTTAAAGATGGGACTTAACTAACCACCAACATACACAGTCTACCGTTTTAATACGCTGTTAGTGAAATTAAGATTGATTACAGGTCATGAAGTGGACTACTCATGTGAACTTGCTGTAACACCCAACAAGGAAATCCAGCTTATGCTTTTGTATTTTACCCATGACAGGATGTCTTGATTGGCTGTTAGTCAATATGTATTCTACACTCATCCGCTGATGATGACACATCTTCTGGTTATGCTAACCGGTCTTAGCATAACCGACCAGTAGCTACAGCTCTGGATAACGGGCGATCGTGGCTCAAGAGTTAGCAGTTCGTCTTTTAATCGGAAGGTTACCTGTTCGAGCCCCGTCTCGGACAGTCTCGGTCGTTGCGTCCTTGGGCAAGACACTTCACCTACCG